AAAATGATTTAGGAATCATTTTTAAAACTGTCACTTAATTCTATCCATGCGCCTTACTTGATGCCACCAATTTCATTACCATATGATCCTCCTCCACTAAAAAGGTAATAATTTACATTATTTTAAATTCTTTCCTTTAATCTTATTTATACTTTATATCCCATCTACCAGCTTTGAGTCCATTTACATATTCATCACACAAAATGACTTAGCAATCTTTTTTAAAATTTTCACTCAATTCTACCCATTTACCTACTTTTATATCACCATTTTCGATATCATATAATCCCCCAGCACTTAAGAAATATTATTGATTAGCTTTTACATTTAATAAAATTCCTATAAACCTATTTAGCTAGACAAAATATCCCATCTCCCAAATTTTTTGCCATTTTAGTCTTCCCCACAAATAACAATTTGGTTATCCTGTTTGAAATTTTCATTTAATTCTATCCATTTACCAAATTTTTTTTCCTCATTTCCGTTATCATATGAACCTCCTCCACTACAACAGTATTTATTATTTTTTACATTTAATAAAATTCCTTCCAATCGTTTTACTTAGACAAAATATCCCATCTCCCGAATTTTTTGCCATTTTAATATTCCCCACAAATTACAATTTGGTCATCCTGTTTGAAATTTTCACTCAATTCAATCCATTTACCTACTTTTATATCGCCGTTTTCATTATCATATTATCCACCACCACTACACCACAATTTTTTATACTATTATACATTTATTTAAATTCTTTCCACTAACTCCACTTAAACTTAATTTCCCAAATGCCAACTTTTTTACCATCTTTATATTTTCCGTTATAAATGACTTAATGACTACGAGAAAATTTCTCACTTAAATCGATCCAGTAACCAATTTTAGTTCCTTCTCCATTCTCATCATATTATCCTCCTCCACTAATTTATATTTAATTTATTACATTTTTATATTATTCCATTTGTATATCCAATTACCAAATCTTTTATTTTTTTCATATTATCCTTCTTCATACACTTTATTTTCACTTTAAGTTTATTTTATAAAATTACTCCCAATAATTTTCACATAAATCTATCCAACTTCCAACTTTTTATCCGTATATATTGTATAATCCGCCTCCAACATTTTTTTCTTTCCAAAAATAGTTCCATTATTTTATTTTGTATCCATTAATTCCATATTGACCTTTGAAATCTAAATATTTCATTTATTCAAAATTATTTAATATTTTTTCATTTTTCTATCCTGATATTTTATTCTCTCTATGTTATATGATAATTATGTTACTATCTAAGTATCTATTCATTCTATTTGTAAGTTCTATTTCCATTTATATCTCTTATGAGAATAAAATCTTTTGGTATTAATTAGTCTTTGAACTTTGAGAATCCTTGAAATTAAAAAACGCTAACTTTTTCCTCTCCTTCATTAGAACTAAGATCTGTAATATAATATTGCAAATGAGTATTTAATTAATCAAACAAATGACAGATCGTGTAGATTTTCTATATTTAAATTTCCAAATCTTCTTCTAAATTTTTGAGTTCAGAAGAAACCTTCTGTTTTTATGCTATCCATTTATTAAAATTATTTCCCTCGAGAAAATTTACTAAAAAATTTAATTCCTTTTAATCACACCTGATAGGGTTAAAAGCCTAATCGATGATTTCTAAGAATCTATCATCTCCTGTTCTTGAGTTATTTACAATGCTTTTTATTGAATCTTTCATATTTTTTAAAATCATATTTATTTCTTCTTCAAATAATTCAAACTTCTATTATAAGCTATCCAATTGATATTGATATTAACTTTATTCCAATTAATCCCTTACTCTTAATGTATTAGATTTTTCAAAAATTATTTTAGGAATATCTTCAATTTATATTATTTAATCTTAAGGTATTTTTAAAAAAATTTTGTGGTATGGAATAATTCTCCCCCTCATAAGCACTTAGTGCACTGATCGAGATCCATTAATAAGCAAAAAGTTTTTAAGATCCAGCTTTACAAAATATCCTAGTAAACTTAACACACTGGGTTTTTGCCATGTTGAATTTTTTAAACAATAGTATGAATTAACTATTACCATAATTATCTGCGCTAGAATAGAAATTCAACGTTTAAATTGAGTAAATCAATAATGACCTTTCTCAAAAACAGAACTAAAAACTCACATTGCAACCTAAATAGAAAAGCAATATAATAGACATCTTGGAGGAATCATTTGGATTGCAGAATTGCAAATCCACTATTATTTAGAAAGCTTAAGATAACAACGATAGCTTATGCATAGAAATTGTAAATGCTGGATACTTTTATCCTAAAATGGTTCAATATAAAAGAATGAGTAGCCTCTATTCATCTATCAAAAGAACTCACAAATATTTAATGTTATGAAAAAAAAAAAAAATCAAAAAAATAAACCTTCAACACCTTCACTTCGAAATTCAAATCACCTACTAACCGTAAATAATGCTCAATCCCCAACAATATTTTCTAATTAACCCATTTAATAAGATCGCATCATATAATCAATTGAACAAAAAATTATAAAAGATTTGTAATCTTCCATTAAAAAACAAATTTCTGCTTTAAAACTTACTGTTCCTTAAATTCAGGATCCTATCAAATAGGTTCAATTTAAAACTCCTTGTAAGATGACATAATCTTAATAATAACCATTTAATTAGTTATCTGAAGAAGAGGAGGAGGAAGATGATTAGATATTTGTTTGCGGTGGAAAACTCCATTAATGCAAGAATATCTTCAATAACACTTAAGATTACGCATAACACATGAAAAAGTTTCATAAGAATAAAGTGCCTAAAGAAAGTTCCCACACATTAGATGGCTAAATGATTGAATGAGTGTAGCCCCTACACGGCTCCACCAGGACTAAGAATTAGACGCTGTCTTAAGATCCTGGCAATAATCATATTTAGTGTCTCAATTTTAACAATAAAAATAAAAACCCAATCAAATTAGTCACTTGGAATATTTCCTCTATGAAAGAAAGCACGCTAAAATAAGTTAAATTATGTGGCCCTCATTTTTTCTGTCTATAAGAAAGCCGCAATTCTAAGATTTCATCATCACCTAGTTATTAGATTTATATAAACCATCATTCAACCAGTGAGAGATCTGGTGGTATAATCACGGGTATTCACAATAGTTTTGCTTCTAAAGATATTAGTGATATCCTTTAAATTCAAATATAAGTGGAATTTGACTATCTTATAATTAATGCTAGAAACGAATACTTTGATATTTTTCTGTTTAATTTCTACTTTAACAAAAAGTCTACATTCTAGAAATCAAAGACTTAGCTAGATAATTGGTTGAGATAATTCATTCTAAATATTAAGCCTAACCAGTAAATTATTATTTGCGGTGACTTTAATATAAGCTAAACCCCTTTTAATTTTCTAACACCAGCTCTTCCACAGCACTTAATTACATTTTAGAGAAAAAAATTGAACAAAATGATAGAAAGTAGAACTGATCATGTTTTATTACATCCCTATGTCTAATCTAAGAATAATGTCTCCTTTAATTAATTATCAGACCACTCCCTAATAGAAATTGAGCTTAACCTTCAACAAAAAGTCAACTAATAATTCTATTTTTATATATTCAATAAAAAGCGAGCTCAAAACTTAAATAACTTGGCTTCTAGCAAATTTTCTGATTTTACATGTTTCTATAAATTTATACAAAACAACCTCAGAAACTCCAAAGTTATCCAGAAAATTAAAAAGCAAGTTATACCAAAATTAAATATTAATTCCACCCATAATAATTAAGATATATTCTAACATATGGCTGACTTATTCTCTAGAGATAAAGTAACATTCTTCCAAACTCTAAAAAAAATAACTATATTAAACCCTTTTAAAAAAGATGGTAGCATTTTTTCATATTTCATTGATGACTCTAATTAACTACAATTTGGAGATATTGCTATTAGAAATTGTCTTACCTAACTTAGTATCATATCAAATGGTCAAAAATTTCGCCCTTTAAAACTTCCTTCTTTACCCCCCTTAAATACGCTTGATATAACCGAGCTACAAAGAAGGATGTCACGAAATAAAGCAATTAGCTTTGATGGTGTATCTGACAATTTTATTAGGAATTGTAAAAATGTCCATATTTTTTGTGATATATGGAAATAATCTACAATTGAAACCAACTACGCATGCTGTAGAGCAAGACTAGTACCCTTAAACAAGGTTTTCCCCGATATCCCTACTAAAACTTAGTTTCGACCTATTACAATTCTAAGTCCCCTATTTAAGCTGCTTGAATTAAGATTTCTGCCAAGACTATAACAATATTTGTCCACTCGCTTATCTAAAGGTCAAGCAGGATTCATTCCTGGTTCATCTACTCAAATAAATATCATCAGACTCTTAAATACTTTAACTGGTTACAAGAAATAGGATAAAATGGATTGCATCTTTATTGATTTTAGCAATGCCTTCAATAGCATAAATAGATAAAGACTATTTAATATTTTATCTGCTAAATCAATTTTGGATGGCATCGAAATAAAATTCCTTAATCACCTCTATACAAATCTCCATTATATTTGCCCATAAATGAATACCACATTTTACTTCTAAAACGGTGTTCCTCAAGGATCTCCACTGTCTCCCGCACTTTTTAATATATATCTTGAAGATTTTTTAGCTTCATTAAAACAAAACTGTAATTTTAATTATACTTCCTATGAATTTGCGGACGACATTGTAATTATTATTGCTCATAGAAATATCCAATCCTTTTTATAAAAGTTGGTTTTAATTTCTGAAGAATATGAACTTAGATTAAACTAGAAAAAATGTGGAATCTTTTTCATCCAAAATCATAAGCGCTGTTAATATAACAATATATAAGGATTTCCTATTGTGAAATCTTATAAATACCTCGGAATAAATATATTGAACAATGGAAAAATAAGTCTATAGCTTGATAAAGTAGAATAAACTCTAAAATTTTTAAGTGGAAAGTTGCTATGGGTTTCTTAAAAACTTAATTGGAAGCAGAAATATTAATTATTCTAAACTTTTCTCCTTCCACACATACTCTATATTTGTCCTTCAATCCCAACCTAGAAATACAAAAACATATTTCAACGCTTATAAAAATTATATAAATCTAGCTTTAAAAAGGTTTGTGGATTTCCTAAATGCTTACCTAACGAATTTTTAGATTTGATATTACCCCCTCTAGAACTTCTTATAGCAAAGCATACAAATAAGGTTATCAGTAGGATGAACAACGGAAACTTTGGTTAAACTACTTTTATCAATAATTACTTTAACGAGATAGAAGAAATGAATTAAAATTCAATATACAAACTTCTCCCCAATAATTTTAATTAGCTGTTCTACCTGTACCCTAAAATCTGTAGGACCCACTAATGTAATCTTTCATACCGCCATATAATAAATTTCCATTCCAATTTCCATATTTCAGAGTTTTTAATAAATCTAAGAGGCATCTTCAATAATAATTAGTAAATACAATAACCAAAAAACTAATGTAATAGATTGGAAAAAATAATTGCAAAGCTTTTAACTGAATGATTGAGTTATTTTTATGTTAAATAGAATAATAATAATAATAATACATGTTTATTCATACAAATCCTTTGTACCATAATTAAATATCCAAATCGAACTCTCATCATTAATTAAATTAATGAACATTCTGGCTATCAAACCAATAGTATTGCAAGATTCTGGTTGACAAGACAATAGTATTAGAAGATTCTGGCTAAAAAACTTATACTATGCTCTAATCAATAGTCCAAATCTACTATTTTTCATTACTAAACATAGCTATATTTGAAACTAAACACTTTAGCTATATGGCTTCTCAACTCTTTATATGATAATAAATTACCTATAGTATATAATTTCTAAATGTAGTTATTTCAAACATTCTCTCCCTTTTGATAGCTTAAATTTCTAAATATTCAATAAAATAATTCTTTCTTCAGTTATTCATTCTAGGTAATAAATGTACAAAAACCTATTTGGCTTTGTTTTTGTTCAAGGTATTTTTCAATAATTAGACATTTTTTCGTTTATGTGAAGAAAATTGTGATATTCTAATTTTGAAACGGTATTGAGTTTGTAATAAATAAAAAGTAATATTATCTATGTTTAGGTATCAACGAATCGATTTAATAATATAATAGTGAAAATAGTGAGGAAATATAAGAGGAACACATGAGAGCATAAACTCTTTTATTTTTATAAGTTAAAATTGGGGAATAATTTGTTAAATAACAATACACTTGATTAATAAGGAGTATTGTGAAGAAGTTGCCCCAGATCTTAGTTTTTACCTTAAATTAGAAATTTATTGTGACTTAAGTTATTACTATGAAAATAAAATTAATGGAATATGTCCTTACATTAAATACTCACTTTATATTGCCTTAAATTTGATAAAGTATTATGAAGATTAAATAATACTCTATCTGTAAAATGATCAATTTTCTAGTAAAGGAGGGCTGTAAAATATATATATAGTATCTTTATAATATGCATAATTATTTGGCTTAACTAATATATAAATTTATTTATAATCAAAATGACTATTTGAAAATCCAATCTAGTTAATGTCCAATTATTGTGATTTGAAGGAAAAAAACCCTATTTCGTTCCTTGTATATTTTTTGGTTTCACCATTAATCCAAATTATTTTTTTATTTTGAAAATATATAAATAATTTAAACTATATTATACTAATACTTACTAGATATTTTGTCTATAAAACTGATAAAAACTTTGTTAAGCTAATCGAAATTTTATAAATATGCTCTATAATATATAGTATTCTTGTTAACTTGTGATGCAAGCACATTATACATGAGCTATTTACTTTTAGTTCCACACTTATTTACAAAACAGATACAAATAAAACTGAAATTATTTCCCCTATTATATTCTTTCCAGAATCTTTAATATATAAAAACTTAATTGGAAGAAATTAAATCTCATTTAACTAATTCTCGAATTTCAGGAAACGTTAACTGAAAATAAATAATACTTATTTGTTGATTCTAGTAGGAGTAAGGTTTTTTTATAGTGTAAAATTTGAATGTCTTATGTGAGATGGAGCCTATGGAGGTATTTGGATATTTGATATCCCCAATTTAACTTAAGAGTTTTATATTTATTCAGAATTTTGCTCAATACTTTAATCTTATCCAAAATTTGTTTAACAATCTTTATAAAGTAATGAAATCCCAAAAACATATATTGTAGTTTTATCCATTACTATTTGGTTAGTTATCTAAATGGGAATGTTTGATTGAGATTTAATAATTACTATAATAAATATTATATATAAATATCAATGGTTTCGCTTTTTTTATGGACATTGATCTGCGACTCCAATTTTAACCATCTTAATGTTAGACAATAAGACCTGATAGGTACCATCAGGCTAAGGATCAAAAGAATAGATATTAAAGTCTGCAGAGGCAGGGTAATAATTGTCTTTATTGAATTCCAAACTCATTTCATTTTATATTTAACTATATTTATAATGGATAATACCTTTTTAAAACTTAATACTTGATAACAAAGAGACCATTTTTGTCACTCTTCGTTTCAGTTTTTAAATCATTGTAAGCAATTCCATTCCATTATTTAAGTTTAATATTTACTCCTTCCAATCCCCTCCATACTAATCCACCATCACAATCAAATTCTGCCATCACTACACCACTTATCGAAGAGTATTGATAATATTTATTGAGTTACCCTTTGAATCCCGGAGTTACTTCAGCCTAAGTTGATATCTTTACAGTTCCACTGTCTGGAGTAATATAGAACTTATGAGATGTTTATTTAAATTTTGCTGTTTCTTGAGTAATCACTAAACATTAGACTTTCGAGTTCGAATTCATCAACATATCCCACTTTATTTAATACTTACCAGCATTGTCAGTATTAGTTCTGATATCTATTGGTCTATTGTCTTATCCAAAACCATCACATTGCATAGACACTGGTATATTAGAAGGGGCTATTCCTCCTTCAGAAGTAAGTTCACCATCTACTTGAAATGGTAGATAATCATCATAAAATTATTTTGGAAAGATCAATTAAGATTTTTCATCATTAGTTTAAAATGGCAATGTAATCTTATGTATTTATCCAGTTACATCTGAAAACTATTCAGTTAATTGATATTTGACTCCAAATTAGAGTTGATCATCTAGTAATTACCACTTACCATCAGATCCAGTCTTAGCTTCATATTCTTTGGTAACTGGATCTGAAATCAACTTAATTGATATTCCTGGCTTTCCTTTTCCTTTTGGATCAATGATTTCTCCTCCAACAGTTAATTTAGTATTAACCGGAGTCAATTCTTACTTTACCTTAATCGGAGGTACTTAGATTTAAGGTCCATTACATTAAAATGAGATTTTATCTGTTTTAGTATCTATATATTTGTCGGCTGAAACATCTAAAATAAAGGATCCCTCAGTGTTTTTGTAACAAGGTATATCTAGATTAAATTTCCCATTTGCATCAGTTTTTCCAGTTATTTTATTTTTCTCTGTTCCTTTAACAACGGGTTATAAGGATTCTACTGTTAATGTGGATACAGGAGATGGCTTTCCTTAGGGATCAGTCAAAGTAGATGATACAGTGGCCTTTAAGATAATTCTATCTAAAGCAGCATCTTGAGTTACAGTTTAATCTTTATTTGTTGATATTGCAATGCTAGGCGATTTAAAGGGAGTGAAATCTGAATGAGTGATTTAAATGACAGCCTGATAGGATTAATCGAAGACAGCGTTAAACGTTAAGGAATATTTTCCATTCTGGTCAGACTTAGTTTTAAGATTAGAAGCTAATGGATCTGATGGATTTAAGACTACTTCAATATCTGCACCTTAAACATTCATAGTAATTCCACTTTTATCCGTTAATACTCCAGAGAAGGTTATTTGTGCTGTTTTGGTGATTATCTATATAGGTTTAAGTTTGACATCTTTTTCGCCACAAGTAAAGACTTGAGGAGCCAAAGGTGATTTCGGAAAGGCATCTGAAACCATATCCAATTTTAAAGTGGTAAATACTTGATTATAACACTAAAATGGAATAGAAAACTCCCCTTTATTGGCTTATGAAAATTTATTATAAAATTAAGCGTTCTACATTTGTGGGATTGAACTTAAGATTTCGACTTTTGCATTTTCAACTGCTTTATTTTTGGAATCAATCAAGGATCCACTTATTGTACAATCAACTATCACTCTCTTTAAAGTAATATCTAGAGTCATGGATTGTTTTTCTTCTTTGCCAATTAACTGTATATTATTATTTGCAATCTGAAATTGTGGTTGCCCATCAGCAGTTATGGTTCCATCATAATTAATACCTCTTAGAAGCTCAAATGAAAATATAAATGTTCCATCATTAGAACTCTTGATTTTTATTTATTAATTAGTGAGTGGATCTTATTATTTTAAGTTAAAACTCATTTGTATTCCAATTAATTTCTCTTCAATCTTAGTTTCATCAATCAATTTACCATTTATCGTAAATAATGTTGCTAAGAATTTACTCTTTATAGTGAATCCATTAACTTCGAAGTTAGGAGGAATCAATTCAACTTTATATCCATTATCTTATATCACATCTTTAGGTTTAATTAGACAAATAATTTTATCATCATGCTTTGCTAATACTTAAAATGTTATATCCACATTTCCATTTTTATCTGTTGTAAAATCCTTATTAATTGGGCCTTTTGAATCCTAAAATCCCTAACAATTCAAATTAAGAGTCACTGGTTATGATAATGAACCTTTCTCCAAATCGATTTTCCCTTTGATCTTAGCATCTACCAAATCAATATAATTAATATCTTATACTGACACCTTTTGATTATCACTTTAAACTTAGAATTTCTATTCTATTTTCTAATTTTATTTATTAATATCTTAATATGAGATATTGGCTTTGTATTCTGTAATTGGAAATAGCTTATGAACTGTTGCTGTCCAGGTACCATCACTTTAAGTTTTTGTTGTTAATGTTTCACTTACTGGTTCTGTTGTGATGGTAAGTGGTAAATTAGCAACTGGTTTTCCATGAGGATCTATAACCTTTCCTGCCAAAATGGCTTTGATTTCTATTTTCTACAAGGTCAATGTTATAGGGTTTAATTCTATTTAAGGTTAGTCACATTTAAATTTAGAACTCTTCACTTTTTATTCTTCATATTAAGGTATATCTATTTAAAAAGAAACAATGTATTCTATATCTTTGTAACATTCAAAATTTATAAAAAAGGATCCCTTATCATCATCATTTGTTGCTATATTATAATATTTTGAATCCTTCATCAAGGGTTCTGATGAAGTCAATTTAATGATAGCATTAGGTATTGGCTTCTTATCACTATTGGATAATGTAGAATGTAATTTTGTTACCATAGTTATTCTATCTAATTCTAAGTTTTCAGTCAAAGTAATAGATTAAAGACATTTCTCTTCAATTAGCTTATTCTCTGTTTAAAATAAAGGATTGGAAGCCTAAATTAAAAATTT